GATCCCCTGCCCTTCCCCTCCTCACCCAGCTGGTGGTGAAAGTAGTTTAACTACGGGCGGGTACAGACAGTTCGCCATGGATGTCTGCAGCACTAAAACCAATGCAGCTGATGCCAGCTTGAATGTGACTTTCAGTTCACATTGCAGCTTTAGTTCTGTAATTCTACATCTGTTGCATTATGAATCCTTTCAAATTACTCTGTGGTGTATTTTAGAGACTCTCAGAATAACAATGGGTAGATCCACCCCTTCTGCAGAGACACATCCAAGGGAAGAGAAGAAATCGTCTAAGGTATTACCCATCTCTGTCAGGGAAAGCCTCAAATGCATGGCTGAGACCTTCTCAATATGCAGGTCCAGAGCTCTTCAGGGAGGAAAACCGACCCCTCGTCAACACGCTGTGAAGTTGTTGGAAGCAGTTCTCTGTGGCAAGAGCAAGCTGTCTGGAAGCCTCCTCGTTGCCGGCCCAATTTTAACTGCTCCTCTCTGTCATCCTCCCCTGGCACCACAGCTTTAATAAGACTAATATTGTTTTGGCAGATGAACCCAGAGGGAGATAGCGTAACTCTTGGCACAGAAAGCAGGGCAGAGTCTGGAGCCTGACAGTTCTTCGGTTCTGACCTTCCCCTCCAAACTCTAAATCTCACAGATCACTCCTGGAGTGTTTCCAGCTTCCAGGGGCTATCAGCACTGTCTGTGGGACAAGATGGATATTTGTCCTTTGCAAGAAATCCATAGAAGAAGAGCAGCAAAAGAGATGGTCAAATACAGATCTTAGGTTGCCTTTGCTATCCCAGCCTGAACGACTGGTATCTTTTAGAGAGCTGTTGTTTGAGTTGACTTTGTTTAGAGACTTAGAAGGATTTCTGGGGCCTGTGCTGTACCAGAAACTGGGCACAGCTCATGACACTGTGGAGACTGTCCATAGCCATTCCAGGGACAAGGCCGTGATTGAGGACTCTGGCTCCAAAGCAGAGGCAGCTTGTTTTAGTAAGATGGATGGTATTACCTGGTCTGAGAACGTGGTAATTCAGAACCTGTTTCACAAATGGCTCAGCCTTGTGTTTGGCAAAGGTAGGATGATGCTGGGAGGTTTAAGATGATCAGCTTCTCTAATGTATGCCTTTTTGCAATTCAAAAGTGTTACACTGGCTTCTAAAGACAGCTAAGTTATGCCCAGACCCAGTTCTGCGGTCCAGAATAGCCCTGTGCAAAGGAGGCTTTCGGTGCTCTCCTGCCTGACTTGGATGTCTCCTGCTGCACCATGGTAGTCTTTCGCAGTTTGAGCTGCAACGTTTTTGTTACAATTTTCTTTTAACATGTGAGTGTTTAATTCGATTTCTAAATCTCTAAGCATACCAAACCTTGAATACAGTGTAGAGTTTCCCTGATTCCGAGTGAAATCATTCAGAATGGGCTATGAAGTGGATGTTTATTCTGCCTGATCTGTCATTTTGTTTTCGTGCTAATACTACCCCTGTTGCTATGCTATAATCGGCTGTTATGGAAACAATACATTGTCCCTAGGGTAAGTTTAGAAAAACATTCACCCACAATGCACCCACAGATAAATCCAGTTTTAGCAACATGGTGTTTAAAGCATTATATAATGCTCATAGAGCATCAGCAAGATGTGCTCGCTTGGAGCCAGCTCCAGATTACCGGTTTCTCTGTATTGTTTCTCAGGCCCTACATGTCCATTGGAACGCTACGTGATCAAGTCATCTATCCAGACTCAGTGGACGACATGCATGAGAAAGGCTACCAAGATCAGGATCTGGAGAGTATCCTGCATATGGTTCATCTGTACCACATAGTTCAAAGAGAAGGAGGTAAATTGTGTATTTTCGTAAAAACCTTTACAAAATCCATTCCTCGTGTGTGTGTCTTAGTGTGACTGAACTTTACTTACTGAACTGGCAAAACTGGATCCAGACATTTTGTGGTTGTGGGAGCTGCACAGCCACATGTCTGTTGCTCCTGGTGCTAAGAGGGAAAAGAGCTAAGTGCTCCTCTTCTCCCCAGTAAATCCTTGCCGAAGCTGAACATCCTTGTTCTCTTGTAATAGCCAGTCTGTTCATGGTATTGTGAGATCAGTGACCTTCTTTCTTTTTCTTAGAAAATGTGGCCTGCCTTAAAACCTTTTAATGTCACTGACTCCATCAACTCAAAAGCATGTGAATGAAAGAAAAGTCAGGTCTGCTTTCACCTCCCTGGTTTGTGTGATCAGCAGCGCTATGTGCTACGGGAAACCGTGTCTGATACCACAGCACCAGGGTGAACAAGTTAAAAATAACCACACGACACTGGCTGGCAGTAGAGTGTTGCTGTCTACCACTTGCTGTTTAAGTTGCCATGTGTTCTCAGTGTCGTTTGTCATAAGAGGAGGGGACAGTGTAAATATGCTGGCATAGTAAATGTCAAGACACTAAAGGCTTTTCTTGTGTCTAAGGAAGTGGAGCATTTCAGGGCGCTTTTTTTGGCATAGCAATAATTTTCATCCTTTTGTTCCCACCAGCCACTAATCTCTAGTTTAAGTTTCCTCCCCATCATTATGCTTTTAAAACAGACGTAGGACAAAGTTGGTAACATTTAGAGAGAAGAAGGAGGATCTTCAGACTCCTCTAAGGAGCTGATGTTGGGAGTTCTGGATATACCCTGCCTCTCTGCCAGCTGTCGGTGCTCCTTTTTGACAGGGTACTTCGGGTCCATTGCCTTGTAATGTGTGTGCTTGGTGTCTCTCAGGATCGTTCTGACAATAGAGAGTAGTTCTTCAGCCTTTGGGAATACCAAGGACACGTCTAAATTCCCATTCCTGGAGGGCAGCCTGTTGCTCTGTTCAAAAGGCTGAAAGTGTATTTTGTTTTTGAAGTACGCATGGACAATCGTCTGGTGTCTTTTCAGCACATTTTAGAGTGGGGAGTGGTAATCATTTACAGCAGCAATTGTATACCTACAGATTCATAATATTATTCAGATCTGATACTATGACACAAGAATTGAAAAAGTGGGCAGAGCGCTAAACTCAATGACTGGAATAATTGCTGAGAAGGTCTCTACTCCCTGCATTGACATTATAACTATTCCTGTTAGTATTCCTGAGTCACTTCACTAAGTGAAGTGCCCAGATTGCAGAAGAACAAGCATATGTGTTGGAATGGGGAGCTGGAGAAGGAGGAGCAGTTAAATTGTCAGTGGCAAGAAGCCACTGTGGAGTGTGCATTCATAGCGTGATGGTACTTGTAGATGTACTGAACAACACATGACCCGCAGTGGCCAAAACCATATCCCCAGCAGCCTCAGAAGGCACATCATTGTGGTTTATAACCCTGCAGCTGCAGCATGGAACTGATGATGGAGCAGCTACTGTGCTCCATGTACGAGGTGCTGTTGGCTAGGGTCAGGGTTCTGTGTTGCCAAACTGAACACCCAGGTTTGGATCCGTCTTGCTCTGCTTTCTGTGCCAAAGGACAGTAGTCCCCTTTTACTGCTGACCCCATTCTTGCTCGTCTGCCTGTCAGACTGTGCATGTGAGACACACACAATCTATACAAAAGTGTAGAGGACGCTGTTAATGTTCACTGGTGCTCTATTGAAACTCCACTCATGATAAGGGCACGCTGTGCGAAAGTCTGCACAAACAAACATTAAAAAAAAAAAATGTCTTAGGTACTTTGCAAGCTAAAATGACAGAAGTGGGCAAAGCTGGAAAACAGGAAGAGATTACCACATACCAGGAAGTTTTTAGGACCACAATACGCTTACTTGTTCCCTTTTCTCCTTGAGCATTTGCAGGAGACAAGTGCCAAGGTAGGAGCAGAGAGGAAATCCGTGACATATGATTTGACACGTTACATGGATTTCATATACTTACATATTCTTTAGAGTTCCCTCCCTCAGTCTGGGTCAAAGACTCATATTCTGGTTTTTGAACAAGAAAGCCAGAGAAATACTTCTTGAACGTGAACAACTGAAATTTTTGTTTATACGTAGCTGAATGTTGGGTTTTTTTATTCCAATTTTTATTTTATTCTTTTACTTAAAATCAGATGTTTAAACTAAAATGATTTCTATTAAAAATGAAGCTATTTTTCCTTCCAAAGTAACAAAAAATCCCATATAAAGCTTGTAGAACAAGGGATTTGCCTCAACTGCTTTGATGGTTGACAAACACTGGCATTTTCCAATAGAAACAGGTTTTGCTGAAAAAATCCTATCAAGTTTCTAATTATATATTATATACACTTTTTGAATATGTACAACATCTGAAAAAAAATCAATGAAACCGTTTTTAGTTGTTCAGATTCTTGTGGATATGTGGGACACGTCCATGCTATTTTGAACCGTTTCCATAAATTGTTCCATAAACTGTCCATTCTGAGAATGGAGCTAACTATCTGTCCATCATTAAGTTATAGAAATCTAATATAATTCTTCAGTATTTTTTTCTGTAGATCCTCTTCTTCTTCAGAGCCTTACCCCTCTTCCCCTTTCACGTATCCCCTGCACTATTAAGCCTCTACCAGACAGCATGCTCCTTAGGGCATGACCCTGTTGTGCTTTAATTGACCACGAATGTCATGTGTGTATAATATGATGCTTTGCAGTTTTGTGTTCTGCTCCCTGTGGGCAGTTATGAAAAAGCCAGATGGAGCCAGAAGTGCGCAACTCTGACTCAGTTTATTTGTCCTGGTGTAACTTTATTGTCTTTAGATGAATTACTTCCACATTGCATCAGTACAAGGGTCACCAGATTCCAAGTGTAAAGTAGCTGACGAGAGTCTGACATTGTTCTTGTTGCTGCCACTGGCCGAAATTCCTCTCTTTTTCTAGCAATAAGGTTTGACCCAGTTAGAAGTAAATAGAATGGTTACAAGAATAAGTAGCCCAGTTTGGCATTTAGTGTCTGTGTTACCCTCATGAAACTTTTTTCAGTCAGTAGCAACAGAATACATCAAAACCACCGAAACCACCAAAATAACATCTCCTCCCCACCACCACCATTCCAGATGTCCCTGAGCCCAAGCCCTAGAAGAACCCAGTACAATGGCTGTTGTCAGTAGCCCTCCTTGCTGAATTTCCTTCCCACTGAGGCCCACGCTGATATTTTTCTCACCTTAGAGGGATGCCATTTTGCTACTTACCTTTATATTACCTAGTAAGGTGCCCCCATCAACACCTGCAAAGTTGCTAGCTCTACCAGAACAATAATTTCATACAAAATGAGGATAGCAAAGAAGGTCTATTCAGCATGGGTGGCAAAAAGGCATGTCCAGAAATCATGGGTAATCGCGTGGAGATGTGCAAGGGATATCGATAAAGGGGTTCCTTTCTGACCTGCTTTGAAAATCTGTGTCTATTTAGCAAGTGTCAATGGTGAGCAGCCTTAGGCTGCCAATTGCCTGTCGCATGAGGGGAGCCATGAGTACGTGTAGCAGCACGCTGGATGCATGGCCGGGCCTGTCAGGTTGGGGCTGGTGACATTACTAAACAAGTTCAACCTGTTTACGGTTTCTCAGCACCCCAGATTATAATTATTCTGCATTATTTTGCACACTTGTCATATCTTTGGGTCTTGTCCAGGGAACCTTTGTGCTAGGCCATGCATAAACACACAGACCAGCACATTTCCTCTCTCTGGGATTTTTTTCATCTGATTATTTTAGCTCTGGATTTGCTTTTGTTACTGGTACCAGCAGGAACTCTGGAGCACTCTGCCGGCTTTTCCAGCGGCTCTGAAATCCAGACACAAATCCCTGCAGTGTCATGCTGAGCTGAGGCTCACACCATCAAAGACTTGGTCTCTTTGTTCCTTCCTCAGCTAAGGCTTGTCCTTGCATATTCATCCTGCTCGGCACCAGGGCTGTCTTCCATTTTGACAACTGCCTGGGGACATGCGCTGTGCAAGAGGCCTCCCTGTTCAAAAACCCACCAGGGGTGGACTCTCTGGCTGTAGCGTGCTGCAGTAGCCTTTCTCCTGTGATGAAGCTGTAACACTCCAGTCCATGTCTGAGGAGGTGCATCGGAATGTAGATCTGGGAAAAGAATTTTTAAGTGTATATTTTTATGGCAGCTGAATGCTCTGTCTTGCATGTAAGTTGGAGGATTCATGAGGATACAGAGCGCTACAGACCCAAGATAGAACCCTTTTTTTGCCAAATTGAGATTGCTTTTTCCTGCAGAAAATTGAGGTAAAAGGAATTATAAAAGAAGCCATGCAAGAAAATGAAATGCTGCTATCGTAAGGCTGTCACTAGTTTCTGCTGACAGCTCTATGTATTCCTACTGCTGTTACTCTGCCCAGCACATGGCACATGTTCTTTGCCTTACTGGTGGCAAAAGGCATTTCTGTGACATCCAGTGTTCATCACATCTACATCATACCACGTGCAATCAAAGGCTACTTGTAATGAGAAGCTGGGCGAGGAATCTGGGCTCTGATAGCCTGGGTTGTTTGTACCTACTGAGAGGTTTGTGCCACATTCATGGACAAGCGATTTCATTTCTTCTGTGTTCATGGACAAACCATTTCATTTCTTCATTTGTAAAGTGGATGTAGCTATGGGTGATGTAAGCCACTGACTTGGCTGATATTTTCAGAACAA